GTTGGAAAAAGCTACCAAATGACAAAGGCAGTCATGGAGGCATACCTCTACGGCTATCATATGTCCCTGTGTGTCTTACCCTCTCTTTGCTCAAAAAACTGCACGAAATGCTGGCCAAGTCTCTCTGAGAATTTATTTTCGCTTGGAGTCTGCTATAATAAGTGTGTATGATTTACTGTGTAAATGACTATGGCTATGACTAAAATGACTTGGCAGCCTTCCCCTGCTAGTACATTGTTGCGAGGACTGATTTCTCTGGATGAGCTGTTTATGTGCTTTGAAAAAGAGGTCATCTTTTATTCCACAGTAGAATAAGGATTTATTCCTTACTACTACCAGACAAATGGAAACATTTGTCTTCCAGTCAGGCATAGGAGATCAGGACATTTATAGATATGCAAAAAGTGTGCTGCATGTACATTACTCATGTTCTGGCATCCACTTGAGGAGTTACACATAGGCTGTGTGCTGGGAAGAGGTCTGGCAATTATCCTGTACTTACCTACAGGTTTTGCCCGAGACAAATTCCTGCTAAGCTTAGTGGGAGTTCTGCAATTGATTTTCTTGGAAATTTGATTGGTGTGAGTAATTACATTGTCAACAGCATATTTATACTTGAAGGACTTACTGGTTAACAGTCAATTATTTCAGGTAAAGGTAGTTTTTTCTGATGATCTGCTTGTACTGATGAGTTTGTATATCAACACTGCTGTACTGTTTACAAGTCACAAAAGGGGCTTTGGCTTATGAACTGACATAAATGAAAGTGGAGAAATAGGTTACATCTATATAAAAAACCTAAGTAGCACTAGGGAACATCCCTGAGCATCGGAACTCAGTTGTCTGTACTGTAAAATTTTTAAAATCCTGTGCCATAAAATTTTTAAAATCCTCCCTGGCATAGTTTTGGCTTGGGTCAGTTAACACTTTCCGTACCAGTTCCTGGACATAGTTCAGGAGCTAGCATGGGCCACAGACCATTCTCAATAAGTGGTCTGCATACAATCATCCTGTTTTAGAGAATAAGAGAATTTAGCGGTAGGGACACAGGCTGTCATGTGATAGTTGGCCTTGGTGCCAGTGCCAAGACTCAAGCACATTCAATTTGCTATTGCAGACATTGTCACAAATGTTTAGGGCACTTTTGGGAAAAAACTTCTGATGGTATTGGAGGAAGTTTATTTCTTACTCAAAACTATTTGCAAACTTTCTTCCTCCTTGTTTTGCAACTTGGTGGCTCACTCTTTAAAGCCCTGCTGCTATGCAACATTCCAGCCTCCATGAGCAACAGCTGTACCTTTGCTGGAATAAGAATATTTACACAGGAAAGGGATTTCTTAAGGGTATGCTTTACAAATGCAGATTGAATCTGTTTTTCATTTGTTTGCTAACAGTCAAAATTGTCTTTAAAGCTTAGTGACATAAAAAAAGAAATCACTACTCTCTCTTTCTAGCTATCTCTAGAAAACTGCATGAAACAAGGAACAAACAAGTACAATTCTGCATGAAACCAATCAGACTGTGAACCACGTCTGACAAATACACCTCTTCTGGCCTAATCCAACAGCAAAAATGTCTGCCATGGAGAAACACCCGCTAAGTTTTAAGAAGTCTTTGGAAGTCTCTCTGAAATTTTCCACCCCAGGCAGCCCACAGAAAAAAAATGGGGTGCTGGGCAGAGAGAAGGAGCACAGTGATCCCTGGGGAGACACCCTGGCCCTGAGCCACTGCTGCCTTCCCTGGCCCTTTCCTCTGCACTGGCTGGGTGGCCAGCTGTGTCCTCAAGATGCCCTGCAGCAACAGAGAGATTCGTTCCTACAAATCCTGAAATTTAAGTGTGCTCTCACCTTCCAAGTAATTACAGAGAGGCTGCCATGCTTGCTCAGCCAAACACAAATGAATAATTGCCTATGCTTTGCTTTTACAATGTGTTTAAGATATACAGGTATTTCGCTCTGCTCTCAGGAAACAGGGGAATGAAATAATTGCATTGTTGCTATGGAGCAAATATGCAGGCTTGTAATTTTTTAAAACTTTGCACTCTGAATCAACCTATAAAAAAACTGTAAGTGCAGCACCACATGGCAGAGTATTATTTTTAATGGCTTCTTTTTTGTTGCCTTCTTTTTATCCCTGGAGGTTGCATTTCTTCACTTTAGAAAGAGATCTTTGTTTGATTGTTTGTTTACTCTTTAAATGAAAGCTGATATTTTTACATAATCATATGACTTTGGCAGCCAGCATTTTGAGAAAGAGACAAAGAAACTTCTGGTAAAAATCATGACAACTGGCAAGGCAATCCAGGAAGACTCCGAATCTTCCCAGGCTATGTCCAAAGTGCTACTAATACTATTATGATATGGTAGTATGCAGTATGATAGTGTATACTGTATAGTATATACTATATTTTACTAGGATTTCAATGACATCATTATCTAGAATTGTTAGAACAGCTTTACACTTTGTTCCAGTCTCAGTTAATAGTTTTTTGTTACAAAGGTGTGTTTCATTTTCATTACAGCAATTATTGCTGGCTGCAATGAATAGAGGGAAATACCTCCTGGGACACTTCTAATATAGCCCTATCTGCACCAGCTCTTAAAAATATTGCATGTGTAAAAAAATTGACATGAGATATTCTCACTTCAAACAAGAATGATCTATGTTTTTGACACCGACGTAATGCATTTGCACTGAAGGCGTGAACTTGAGCAGCAGGAGGTTTGAGCAGACCTTGGTGTGGGCAAAGTCTGTTTAGTTACACAGCTGGGACTCCACAGCCACTGTTTGTCTGATAGCAGACCATGCAGTCATTGAAACAGCCAGTGTGGAACAATTATTTCATATGAAACATGTCTGAGAATTTGGTTTCAAATGGCAGGCAATGGTTTTTATGTGGTCCCACTCTGTGTTTCACCCCAGCATGCACAAACTGCCTCTTTCCTGCAACTTCTGAAACAAGTTTCTGTGCAGTGCCTGGTCTTCCCATTGCTGCATTTTTAAAAAATGAAATTAAACACAGGGCCCTATTCAGCTGAAAACAACCCCTGCAACTGGTACTGCCTGAGCTCTGTGAGTCTCTTGTTCCCTGAAGATATTAATACAATTCTTAAAGGAAAAATATCACCTTTCCAGTAGCCACAGAGGAGGCTATTAGAAGTAACGATAATCCCACACAGCAGAGCTGTTGTTCTGCTCTCTGTCATAGCAGAGAAAGTCATGCCTGTCCATGGTATCTGTTTCTCCTGGGCCTAACAGGGCATTAGAGACCACTGGCTGAAAGTATTTTTTCTTGTCCAATCTTGAATAAGAGAAATATTAACAGATCTATTCCATGGTGTGGTATTTCAACTACACCTTCTGGACCTAGAATATGGAGAAGTATGTGGATGGAAGAAGCCATTTGTAAGGCTTCATAGCAGGAATCTCTCAGAATGAAAAAAGGGTGTTCATCCTGCACGTTTCCTCTGTTTTCTGGGAGCAGCTTAAAGGGAGAAAAAAGAGGGATTTGTGATTTGCCTCCACCCGAGGGCAAGTGGGTTTTGTGCAGTTTTAATTTCTCCCTTTCTCAAGAGTTATTCTGCATGTTTGTTAGAGAAAGGAGGAGGTGGGTGTTAACAGTGAATTAAATAATAGAATTTACAAAATACAGAACCAGGGAAAGATTAAGTTATGAGGGGAACTGAGGGTCCTGATATGAAGGGGATTCCCTTTTGTCCTTCTGTTTGGGAGACAGCTTGTTCCCAGAGATACGATCCAGACCACTGCCTAGCCTGCAGGAGCTTCCATCAGTTTCAGATATTTCCCACTGGAAGCAGCCTACATTGGAGTAAGCCTGGTGAAAATGCACAACAGATTTTTGAGTAGATACATTTACTCTTCTAAGGCAAAATAGGAAGGGATGCAGCCCAATTTCTGTCTGATTAGGATTAAAGAAGAACAAAACTAGTGTTGAAATAATACCAGTTGCAGAGGCAAAAATATACCTCTACTTCAGAAAAATAAAAGTTGAGCCTATTGTACATGAACCATCTGTGGGAGGTTGTGGTTGAAAGAAACAGATTATTGGTTCTCAATGTCCTTACTCCTATACAAATATAGTATGTGGCACTTCAGAGCTTTTGAATTTCTTTGTTGACACATTTTTTAAGATGACTGAACTTAGACCAAAAGGTGAGGATGCAAATATTTAGTCATTGTAGGAAAATGTTACTGGATTTTTGTGCAAGTTCTATTTCTGCTTATCTGGAGTGCAGGTGTTTTGAACATTGATACCGGAACTTGCTATGGCAAGTGAGCAAGTAAAAACATATTTATATAATTTCATCTGGGAAGTTTTCTGCAATAAAGATTCGGCATAACTTAGTAAATTATGCTATATGTTAGACTACTAACTACCAGTTGCATAATACACTGTTTAATGCGACATTAAACCTGCGTGTTTTAATTCTGTAATGGTGGCCTGAGTAATTTTTAGTGATTTGACACCTTTTTTTTTGCATAGGAGATAGGAACATACAGCTCAACAGGAAATGTGTTTGGCTCCTCGTCTTCCTTATTCTCCAGAGAAGGAGGGCCTCAACTCTTCAGCTAATTATTCCAGAACCATAGTTGTTTAAATATGTTTTATCTTATGTTTACATTATTTTATTCCCAAAGTCCTTTGGCAAGACTAAGCTGCTGATTTCTGCAACCCTGATTTAGTGAAAAAATTTAAGCATGAGTTGAACATGAAGCACACACATAGTCCCAGTGAGATAAATGATAACCTTGTTTAGGGCAACAGTGCTGAGCCTGTGTTAAGTATGCCGCCTTCTCCAAACAAGATGTTAGATCCTTGATCCATGCCCACTAGCAAAACGCTGGGGCTGTTAGTGGGCATTCCTAGCATCCATTTTCCTCACTTCACAGCCAAAATAATTGCTTTTGGAGTATTTAGGACACTACAACAGCTAGCTCAGCTCAAGCAACTGCCTGGTGAAACAGTGGCTGTGGCTCACCTGTACTGCCCAGTGCAGAGCTGTTTTGAAGTCTTTGTCCACCAGAGTCGGGTCTGCTCCCTTGTGCAGCAGAGTCTGGGTGTGCTGGGGCCTGTTGTGGAAAGCAGCCCAGTGGAGCGAAGTCATTCCCTGAAATCCACAAACCCAGAGAGCAAATAATCATCACTCACAGGAGCACCTTTCAAGCCTCTCTAGATAAGCTAGGCAGTTCTGAAACCGTTCGGGACTGACGGACTCTTCCCTCTCCCTCTTGTTTTGGAATAATTAGTAACAGCTTCTGAATCAGTGGAGTCATAAGGGGGAACCAAACAATTAGCTTTTTGGAGTTATTACAGAAAATGGATACAAATGCAAATGCTTCTTTGGCATGTGACTATGGCCTGTTACAAATAATGCATGGTCAGGACCACGCCAGCTGGGGGATGGTTCCTCACTGCTCAGTTTGGATCCTGTGGGAAAAGCCTGATTTGGACTGGTGCTTTGACATGACACAGTGTGATGTTTATTTTAGGTCTTATCTTTGATCCAAAATAAATATTATAAGCTAGTATTCTAGCTGGCCCTAATCAGCAAGCAAAGGAACTGGCCCAGTGATGTCAACAAAAAAGTCATAATATAAACATCTTATATTTACTGTTTAGGGAGAAAACAAAGCAAATGGTAAGCTATTGACCTGCATTTTCATTCCATCTTAGCTGTGTTCAGTCAGTCTTGGTAGATCAGAGAATTCATGGCCTGTATTTGCACCTTCATCAGCATTGTTATACACACCTATATTTTACTCTACATCCATAACATTAGAGATTTTCTGTATGAAGTTACTCATTCAATGTGTTTCTTAAAAATTGGTAGGGGTGTTCAGATGGGGTAATATTTTACTTTAGGCAGGCGTTGTTTACTGTCTCTTATCAGGGAAAATGCATTTCAAGGGTCTTGCCTGGTTTCCAAAATGATAAAAAGCAAAAAATATAGAGTGGAAAAGGAGTTAAAACTTCCATAGAACCCCATAAAGCCAATTGGCAACAACTCAGGTGAAGTGTGAGCTATAAAACATTGATGAGGACAGCTATCAGTGCCTTAATAGTGGAAGTTGTTAGCAGTGATTTTCTAACTGAAAGCTTGAATGCTCTAACAATTTCTCTCACTCATCAGGTATCTTTTAAGGCTTTTCAAGTCCCCATATAGCTTAAGTGTAGGAGATGACAAAATACAGCAGTTGAACAAGAGCAGTTTTGTTTTTAGTTAGGGTTTGCAAAGCTTAATCATGGGGGTTTTGGTTTTGTAAAACCAAAAATGAGGGTAAAATCCTACCCTAACTGAAATTAATGGGAGCTCTGCTATTGACGTCACTGGACCAAGGTTTTGACACAAGGGACTTAGCACTGTTGATGGACACTCAGTATCTCTGACTGCTGTGAAGTGAGGCTTCAGTGAAGTGATTTGCAGCTGGGAAATGGGTCCTCACCCCTAGTTCTGGAGAGACGGAAAACTCGCTGAAAGAGAAGCTACAGCGTACCAGGCCACTTTTCTGTCATCCACTCTCAGTCTGTTGATACGGACAAAAAAAATCCTTGAAAAGTCAACTTTCTCTCTGTTTCTACTGTAGCAACCAGCAGAGTCAGCTGTAACATAAGAGTGTGAGAACTGTGGGTAGGGATCAAAGACCTCTCCAGTACAAGGACACAGCTCAGAGAGATGGTAGCAGATGCTTAGGGAGAAAATTTAAGAAATGAGGCTCGATATACAGTAACCTAACAGTTCATAATCAGTCTAAAGACTTCCTATGACATCCAGACCTCCACAGGGTAATGATGCATCTTCTGAAAAAAGTAATTATCTTCATTTTCTTTAAAACTGCTGCCTGATAATTTCTGTAGGTGTCCCCATTATTTTAGATGTAAAAACCAGTTAACAGAATTCTCTTTTCATCTTCTCCATGCAATTTATGATGCCATGGACTTGTCTTACATCATCCCTCTGACATAGTTGCCAAGCTGAAAGTCCTATTGTAGTTAGTTTGTTCTAGTTGCTAGCCTGCCCATGAAAGGAAGCTACTCTGTAACTATTACCATCTTTGTAGTCCTTTTCTGTTCCTTTTCTTGTATATCCTTTTTCAGATTACTCTTGCAGCCAACATGATGCGGATGTATCAAGGATTAAGACAGAGCATAATACTGTTTCCTGTTTTGTTCTCTATTTCTTTTCTAATAATTCGTACATTCCACGTGCCCTTTCGGAGCACCGAGCTGAGCAAAGAGCATTGAGCTGGTTGCAGTGCCAGCTCACACATGTGGGCCTGCTGCAGCAGGCAATGGCTGTCTAGCCCGCATCCATCTGATTTATGCATGGTGATACCAGCCTTGAGTGGCATCTGTAGATAAACTACTGTTTCTGAGAGGAAGCATGAGTGTGGTATCAGAACTGTCAAAGCTGAAGATCCAGCAGAATATAATATTAAAGGTGAGACAGCCAAACCATTGTGCATTTATAAAAAATAAAGAGTAATAGGGGACATAAAAGGAGAAAAAAACCCAAGAAATGGCTGTGGGAAATAGAGCGTGACATTTGTTTTGCCCAGATTTGAGGCTTTTTCAGGGAATGTTTCTTCACATTGTCATCTCACAGGCTTCATAAGTAAACCCACAGAAAGCCACAGTTGTGGAAACTATGAAACCTCCAGATGTATTTCTTACTGTTTACGCGTTCATGCATTCATTGGGTTGTTTTTCTCAAGTGTAATATGGGAAAACTGAAGTGTTTTACTTATGCCAAGAGAACAGCTCTATTAGCTGCAATCATTTGTGAGGATCCGCGTTTTTCAGAAGACATGAATATTCAGGACTTAGTACTGACACTTGAACAAATATATTCTCAGTGCCAGATGACAGTGAGCTGGACTAAAATTCCAGATTGCAAGCAGCAATGCATTACAGCAAAACATTATGGCTTGACATTATGATCCATGGTTACATGCAATTCATTAGCAACATAATTCTACACCAAGACAAAGCATATGTCTGGTTTAGTTTGTTGTGAGCAGGGTCTGCAAACTATCCAGTGGATAGGGAATGTTCATGGGAAGAGGGAAAACTAACAACCCTGTGGTGATTCTGGCACTGTGGAGAAGAGATGCATCCTTGAACAATTATTAGAGTGAAGAGAAACACATCAAAAGACATCCAGAGTCTCTCTTGTGTCAGGCTTCTCTATTTGGAGAAGAACACATTTGTGAAGTTAACACTCTTCTGTGTACACTATACAGGGCATAATTCTTTAAGAATCAGAGGATAGCATAAATTTTTGTAGCTCCATGGCTGTTCTGCATAATACCAGCTTTCCGATATTTTTCCTGAGAACTGTACTTTAATAATGGGATGACTGGTAAATGTGAGGATTTAGTCCAATGTCTAACTTCAGAAGAATCAAAAGCAATTAATGTCTTGGCAAGTGAGTGTAGAGACTGATTCAAGGTACCTTATAGCTGGCAGTTTATGGAAAAGGTTTATTAGCCTGAAGGTGCATCACGTATACTAGGAAAAATGAGGTAATGCTTTACAGAGTTCAGCAAAAGTATTGTAGAAATTTTTTACTAGTGCATAGTCTCATGACAAAATTGATAGTACAGTGGACTCTTTCTGAACAGCATGACTTGTGTGCCCCCAGAGCCTGGGACTTTGACTTGTAGCACAAGCTCACTCACCTCATTGTCCTGATGATTAATTTCACTAAGATTTGACTGCTGCAGAAGCACGTTCAGAAGCCTGCGGAAGCAATGACATAATCAGTGTGCTGTACTCCTGACTAAACCTGAAAAATTGACATTTTTTGAGAAACAAAACATGCAATTTCAAGAAAAATCAGTATTAGTGATGGGCACAGGTCAGAATCTTAGGTCTAAACTTTGTCATACTAGAAAAACACATAGGACTTTATCACTTACTGTAACAACAGAAGTTTAGTGCTGGGAATTAAAAGTAAATCCACTAGGAAGAATTCTTGTGCTGATTGCTAGGCTAGAATCAGAGCGTGTAATACTATATGTGTGTGCAGTTTTTGGTAGCTTAGTGATTCGTTGTCATCCTATTTTATAAAGTTTTAAACAAACAGAAATGCAAACAACCAGTTTCTAAAAGGATTTTTCACTCTCCTTAACTCTTGGATTAATGTGATGTTGTGTACTTATTTGCATGTGTGTGTATGCATGCATACTACATATTTATACACACACAAACCGACAGTATTTTACAAGGCCTTACAGTGGGTCTGCGGGGATAGGGCCATTGCTATCTTATAAAATATAGTCATGCATTGGTTCACATTTTATAGAATATCACACTACAAACACTCCCCTCTGGTGGAGGGAACAGTTACAGTAAAATAGTTACATGAAATATTATTCAAGTGCAATAATATTTTTAACACTGCATGGATTTTTCTTTTCTTTTCCTTCTGGTATCCTATGAAGATGTTCTGAAATCACTATAGGTTTGGCAAAGATGGTTGCATTTTTTAGTAGGATGCTAAGTTTTTGGATCATGTACATGGATGGATCATGGAAATGAAAAGGACCACCCTGTCACAGGCTGTAACAAAGCCAAATAGTACAGATCCTAACATAGATGTACAGTTCTTATGATTGTAGCAAAAGGAAAGATATATACTTAGTGTATCTCTAGATAAGGTCATGATGCAAATTTGCAGCTCACCTGAAGGTGTGAATTTGCTAGAAACCTTCAAAACATGGACATTTTAAAGACATGCTGTTTTGCAAGGAAATTAAAAGATGATGAAGTGTCAAGGAGGGAACTCTGATAAATGTACAAATAATGCAGAAATAAATGTATACAACCATGCACTGATTCCCATGCATAGGAGACTGAATGAAAATCTGCTGCTTTTCATCAGGACAATCTTCAACAACTTTCAGTAAGTTTTCTGGATTGAACTAACTATGCTCAGGTGTGTGGATCACATCAAGTTGAGAATGTTGCATGACAATCCCTGCCTCCCCCCCCCCCCCCCAAACAACTAGATAATGTAAATTATTAAAAAAAAAAAACATTTACAGTTGCTTACGGATGATTCAGGCAATTCTGCAGGTGAAAAGCCCATCTGTTGGTAACGCCATCTTCAGATGCCAGAAGTCCAAATTTAATTTTTTTCTAACTAGAATATCCCTAAAGGGTGAAGACTGGGCAGATCCCAGTGCTTTGCTGAGACTTCAAATTAATTTGTAAATGGATACAAATACTTGTAGAAAAGGGTGTTACACCTCCTTTTCTGAATCACACAACCAATAGCATAATGGAGTCATACTATAGGAACTCTGAAAAGGATGACATTTTAGGATTACTGTGATTAGTTTAGTAAAAATTTGTAAAAGGCAAGACATTTTGTGGTCATTTGGCATAAGGACTCAGAATCTCAGAAATTCAGTATCTGAAAATAGGTCTGGGTAAAAATGGACTAGTGAGCAGAAAGAAAATGAGATAACCATAATATGCTTGTAAAACCCATTTATCACATAGCTTTGTAGCCTGACACATGGATCTGTAGTTTAACCCCAGATATAATGTAGTTTAACCCCATATATAATCAATGAAACCAAGGCATGTGAAGGAAATACCATTCTTTGAGTGTAAAACCTCTATTAACAACAAACTTTGACTCACTTACTTACATCCTTAGACAATTATGGCAACATAAGTGCTATCACTCAAATATGTAGATATTCAGCCATGCAGCTGAGATTTCTCTGATACCTACTCTTAAAGGCATAGATCAGAAAGTCCATGGATTCTCTTTCCACCTTTCCTCTTAGGCTCTGCGGAATGTGCTGAAGCACATAAATCAGTTATCAAACCAATACATAAATTGGCTGATCACTATCTCTGTCTTTCCGTGTGGTCCATGTGCTGCCTCCAGCACATGGGGTTGTAGCAGCAGGCTGCCAGCTTTCAAACTTGGCTGAAAAGGCATTTCATGGCTGACCACTGCATAAACCCTTTTGGCAACAGCATGGGATTCAAGAGTGACAATGACGGTGATGGAAAAGCCTCCTCCTCAGTGCTCCAGGCATGTCTTCTGGGCACAAGGCAAACGCAGTGAGAAGACAGAGGAAAAGGAATTGAGCAAGTGGTAAACTCCTGTGCAGAGCAAAGGTCTGCCCGTATCCATGGAGAATGTGAAAAATGTTCAGGGAACCCTGTGTGCTGCTGGTAAAGTAGATTACTGTTCCCTTTCAAGTAGCAGCATGTGCAGTGTTGTACAAACATTGTCTTCTTTCTGTGGAGGCTTTGTTTAATGATAGTGACCCGTATTCCTGCAGAAACCTCAAACTATTCTCTCCAAGTGATGCATGAAAAGCAATGATAACGTGGAAAATGAATAAAGCTGTTTGTTAAAAAAGGCTGGAGAGCAAGATCAGCAGAAACACACAGAGGTCTGGGCTGGTCTGATATGGTGACGGCAGCAACACCATAGACTCAGTGATCAAGTTACACGAGCATTTTGCATGTCCTGAATGTTTTACCCGTCTCTAATGTCTTCCTATCCCCCCTCCACCATGATTTACTTAGGAGAGTTTTCTGAGTGAATTTATTCCGATGTACAAATCAAAATTTCTTAAACCTTCCTATTATCACAGGCTGGAATGAGACAAATAGGATCTTTTTAAGACTTCTTGTGAAGACGCTTTGTAGTTGTTACTCCACCTTCAGTAAAAGTAGTTAAAAATGAGCCAGTCCACCAAACCTCAGCTTCCCCTTTACAGTAGGGGCTCTCAGAGCGAGGTTGTCGTGTGGAAAACTTTTCTCACATTTGCCCTGCTACTTGGAGAAGTCCAGAGAAGGAGCTTCTTGTAATGTGGGGAGGTGGCAGAAAGGTAATTTGTCAGGGGAAACCCAGAGTTCCAACCTCTATTACACAGTTTTTTCCCTCCTGCTGTTGTGATCTTAAATTAGGCTCCTTACCTTACTTGGCCGTGTATCTCTGTTACACAAGTGTACAATGCTTTTCCTCCTCTCTACCCCCTTTATGATAACCACTAAACAAAGCAGCACGTCATAAGTGCAACCGTCACAGCTAACCTTCCTGACTCGGACTCCCCTTTGGGCTGGGTAGCCTGTGTTAGTGACTACCTGTTCAAATTCAACCAGCAAATGCTGTTGGAGCCTGGGACATACCTCACGTCAGGCTCTGCGGTAGCAGCATGTAGTGGCAACCTCCCATTTTTGTCAGGTATGTTTTGCTTAGCACCATTTCTGAGCAGGCTGACACAGCCTTCCAGCCACCCCTAAAAAAGAAATTAGAGCATGTCAAAGAGGGAAACAAAATGCATCGGGCCAGATCTTTGCTTTGTGGTTCTGGCATCTGTGTGTGACTGTAGCTGTTTCTGCCAGCAGAGGAACTGATCTTTGTTTCCCCAGTGGAGGTCTCTCAGCACTGAGAGCGGTTCCCCTTTGGAGTCTGAGTCTCAGACTAGCTTGGTCATTCATTTCTGTGGTAAGGTGTTCTCTTTACACAGCATTTTGTTTTTTCTGCAGCTGTGGCAAGTACCTACTGAGTAAACAGTGATAAAAAACCTGCTAATTCCTGTATCACTAGCAAATGCTACACATATTCCTGCATGTGGATTTAATTATGCTAGGTTAAAGCAACAACATCAGCGCTTAATCTCATTTCCTTTATGAGATTTTAGCAGGGATGGCAAATCAATAGTAAAAAGCCTTAGAGTGTGGTCTTACAAACATTGCTGCAGAAGTTCGAATTAGTGGCAATGTTAGACTGAAAACAGCACCAAAACACATGGGATGAATCAGTTCTTGGACTAAAACTTTCTATTGATCACCTCAACAAAAAAGCAAATAAACAATTTTGTTGTGACTGCATAAATCTTTCAGCGCACACTTAAGTCCCAGGGAAATCAACCATGTGTTTAAGTGTTTTGTTCAAACTTCCATGGGCAATTGATAAAGATCATTCCCTCCTGTGTGAGCTATGTCAGATCGGCATTACCAGCATTTATAGGGAAAAGGTGTGGAATGATGGAATCAGAACATCCATGTTGCAGGTCTCAGTGGAAGTATAAGAGCACCGAACCTTGCATGCGATTGTGACTGTAGAGCTCTGCTGAATTCAGTTCTCTGGACAGACATTACAGCCAAATGCTCTCCAGACCTCTGATTATATCCATCACGGAAACAGAAATGGAAACTTCGAAGCCTGGGTGGTTTAAATCTTTTCCAGTCATTTCTTTTTTTCCAAAGAATAGTTTTTCCCCTCTGGGAAAAGAGGAAGGAAAAAAGGAGCATGACACTAATTGTGGGATTTTTTGAAAATATCTGGCAGATGAAATGTTTATTCTCAAGTAAGTTGGACATGCTCCTTGCGCTGAATGAGATTGCCTGTTTTGCTATTTTCTACACTTATTTTATGGCTGAATATTGCATAGCTGAGCAGAAGCATTGTTTTTTTCCTGAATTTGCAGGAAGAAACTAGATGCAAGGGATGTGATTTGATTAGGCTGCCACAGTATCTGTTTAAATGAACTGGCGGTCCTCCAGCCATAACTCATACTATGCAGCATGGGTGAACATTCCTTCCTCCTTTCTGTGCAGCTAATAAAGGAAGCCCATGGTCAACCCCTCTGCCCAACTAACTTGGTCCCCATCCTCTCTCTGAATCCTGAATTCCCTCCAGTGAGGAGTAGAAGACCAACGAGAAGAGGACCATCCCTGTGTGCTTCAGACAGAGAGCACCACATCTCCCTTCCCAAACTTCTGAGTGGGATGTCTGCCCCTACTATCACTTGCACGTGGGTTGAGTGGAGGATTGGGTTGCTTATGAACTGAGTACCTGCACTGGCACCTGCAGCACCTTGAACTTAAGTTCTTAACCTGGCCATCCAAGGTCCAGCATAGTAAAAAAAAGCAATGCCCTGGCTCATGTGGTGTGCAGGAACACATGCCTACTGACCACCAGAATTTGAGATAGGAATGCCCTCTCTGGAGCATAAATATCTGATGCTGACAGTGGGAGAGGAGAAGTTAATCTGTGTATTAAGAACAAGAGGGGACTTTCCAGTGCACAGAAAAAAGTGGCTTTCTTGAAAACACACAGAGGACCCTGGACCTAGTGAGATCCTCATACCATGCACTGATTTTACAACCTGAAAGAGAAAGGACACTCTGACAAGAGTCCTAATCCTTTTATAATAATCATTGCTTCCAGCTTTGCATTATAGTAAAGTTTACAATTTCACTATTGTCTAGAACTAAATGTTTTGTACTTTTTTTCTTTCTGTAGTATAAGGAGAAATCTTATTCGGTCTGTACATTTACTCCCTTCACTCCATCTATCTTTCCATCCTTCTCCCCCAAGTCTTAGTACCAGATAAGTTGCCAGAGATAAACTGGTACGTCCACAAGCATCTTGAATATTAATATTGGCTCCCATCTTCAACAGAAGCTTCACTGTATCAACCTGGCGTCCTGACACAGCATGCATCAAAGGTGTGCAACCTGGGGAAGAAAGTCAAACGTTCTTTTACAATTTTTATTTTGTCAAAGCCGTAAGATAGAGATATTTTCTTATTTGCTAATGTTAGCACTGGCAGATTAACAAATCCTTTCTCTGACTACTGTCTAACAGTTGTACTTAGCTTTTTGTAGGCAGGAAGTAACTGCTATGCCAGTTACTGACCACCAATTTTAAAAAGAGCATGACTTCATCAGCAAAAGCCTTGCCTCATTAACTCTGCTTCTGGAGGGAAAAGTGTTTTTCTGTTGACAAGCTCCCGATATGAACTGCTGGCTTTGTACACCATTTTGGAGGCTGATATTCTTCAGAGTGACTAGTATCCAGATGGTGCTTGGCTACTTTCTCAAACGCCACCTTCGTTCTGTCTCTGTGTATTCAAAAGATTTTTGAAATCAAGCCCCGTCCTGTGCAAAGGTGTATGTGTGTGAGTTGATGCTGTATGTAGACAATAACTTATTTTAAAGGCTGGATTTGCTCTAGAATATTTTCTTTTCTGTTGTCACAAGAACTTTTTTTTAATATTCTGCAAACAATTTCTGTGCTGGAAAAAACCTGAAATCGACACTCAAACGTAATACTCAAAATTCATCGTGAAATATTATGATATCTTTTAATTGCTTCCTCTTCCATCCATTCTGTTAACTGCTGAATAACAGCAAGAGACTTTCCTGCAGAATCTGACAAAGCAATTTAAAATGACTAAGCTGGGAATAAACATGAATATTAGAAACTGTAAGACTACTAGAACTTCAGACATAACTGAAGAATCATGATTCTTACTGGATTCAATGAGACTGCTGAGCAAATGCGTGCTACTCAACCTGAGGTTATGCAGACTCTGCCATATGTGCAGGATATGAGCCATATGTTTTGTCTTGCAAGACTGATCTTTAGCTACATTTGTATGTACAACCTAGTAAACAAGTTTATTCTGGAGCTGAAATACTTCCGTTTGCTGATCAGTCTATCTCCACCCACTGCCCTTCATACCTAGTCCCTCTCCCATTAAAGGTCTGGACTGAGAGCATTTTAGCTTGATTAAGCATTTTCTCTACTGACTAACAGATGTTCTAAACGTAACAGTTAGGATGTCTGGTTTAAAGTGCAGGAAAAATTGGTAACTTAGTGAAAACTGGTAAAGATTAGAATAGACAGTGTTCATATGGGTCCTTTAAAAGAAATTGCAATAAAATACTTTTGAATGAACAAAGTCTTCCTTGAGAGAAGCTTCCAGAGATCTGTGGCTTTAATTCACGTGGGAAATAGATGCATACAAAACCTAGCCAATGGACAGCACTTTGTAATAACATTAAATAGTAACCTGAACACAAAAAGAAAAAGGACCACAGTCTCACAAGATAAAACAGATTATTTAGATCATTACACGTTGTACAACCAACCCTTTAGCAAACAATTACAAAATCCTTCAAACTGTTTCTGTACACATACTTTTTAAGTGGAAAAGACTGGAACCCTCTACTTGAGAGATGTGCAGAATGTATTGCATTTGGCTTTGATAAAAAATGTTCTTTTCCCTTCCCTGAAATGACAATTTCTCAGCATCTCCCTAAAGAAGATAAATAGATTCATGATAAAGTACTGTCTGATTATAGCAAAACAACTTAATTGTATCCATATAAAAAACAATTACAGGGGGAAAGAAGTTTCCAAACTGAGCATTTCCAGTGGATGTTCCAAAGAATAACTCAAATTTCCCATATTCTGCTACTAAACATAATTTGCTGAACACAAAAATCAGGATAAAAAAATGGAAAATTTAATTGCAAGCTGAAGCAACTAATCCCCTGAGAGCAAGCTCAGCCTTCATTTACCCTCGCTGTCGCAGCACTCCAGGATGGAAGGATCTTCTCGAATCACTGCTGTTAGTGTGTTCACATCGCCATTAGCGGCTGCTTGGTAAACCACAGTCAAGTCAATCTCTTCTGCTGCATCACCTGCAGGGGAGGAGTATGTCTGTGAGTAAGCAGAGAGCAAGTACAAATGATTAACAGTGAAAATAATGACACTTATTTCACTGAGTTTTTATGACTATATAACTCGAGGTGAAACAAAGTGTATCTAAACAGCACTGTGGCTTTTGTTAGTCATCTGAAACTTGTTTTTCATCATAACTTCTTCCAGAAACTGTCAGAAACTGTCAGACAGACACTGAGAGGACGGAAGAAAACTTATGGAAAGTTTCCACCTTTTATAAGAAATCATACTAACATTAATGTAACATGACTTGAGAAAGTGAAGTAATAACTGAACTAGCTCATAATATTGCTGGCTACACTTTTGTGAGATAGGATGAAATCAGGACACAGGTGTTTTCAGTTCAGGTGTTATCCTTGCACCGGTCAGAAGACTGATGCTTTTCACCTCCTGTCCCTGTGGTGTCCAGGGGAATTCTCTTCTCAGGAGACTGAATTTCTGGCAGCAATGTTTTGTGTTAATAATTCCTGCAAAAAGGAAAGGTGGACTATTGCTTGGAACCCAGGAGAGGTTTATTTTTTGTTTGGCCATTACAGTATGAGTTGTTATTTAAAGCAGATGACTTTCAGGACCTGTTCCTGAACACTCCTCAGATTTTTCTTTCTAGAGAAATTAATGCGATGATTTTCTCTTTGCTTCTTTGCTTGTAACTTCCTTCCAGACTGGTCATGCTACGCTCCACATGCCTACACCTCCTTTGGCTTCAAGTGGACTATTAACTCCAGGCGTCAAAAGAGTTGATTTTTTGGTGCAAGGTCAAATATGATGTAATGGTAAAATGCCCTAGATGTGTATTGTTGGTCAGCCACAGTCTTATGTCTAATTTTAAAAAGAGTTTCTGATCTCTATTAATTCAAAAAGAAGTACAGCTGCAGTGAGCTGTGCTGTTGTTTACTGTGGATGAGGGTCAGAGCTACAGAGCATAACATTTTTCCTGCCACTGCACTACCTTGTTAGCAGGAGAAAGTAAAACTGCCTCCTAAATCACACTAGAGAATTGATCGAAAGAAAGACAGATTAAGTGACTGCTGACTTATCCGTACTGTTGTGTCTTCTGGAGATAGCGTCTATGTAAGCTGTGCAGAAAAAAGGGGGATGGTTTAAAGAGAATTTAAAAAGTTAGTAAAGTCTTTTTCATAACCAAATAATACATTAACACATTGATATAAATTATATTTTAAACATTGTCATATATATTTTTGAGTGATAAAGATCTTTTAAATTTAAGATCTTTTAAAGCATTAGCCACACTATTCATGTTGTGATCAGATGTTCTTGCAGCTGAACTCGTATGAGCTCCACACTGGGGTTTACAGCCCAGCATAATTCCCCACATGTGATCTCTCCTCCCCGGGATGTGATCATCACTCTCAACTTCAAAACTTGGCTGCCATGGAAACGCAATCAGCTCTTACCATGGGAAAGGTTAGTCTGTCAAAGCTGGAGCTCTAGTTGTGGGCTTGGGAAAACTAGAAAGCTGATGTTAAATCTGCCTTCACCAGTGCAGATTCCATCACTACTCAACTGAAGAGAATTTAATTTCTTTTCTTCCTTCTAGCTGGCCTTTTAAATTACACATTTGATAAAATTTTAAAATTAAAAATGTTGATTTGCTTTTTATTCTATTGGGCAGTCTATTGCTGAGGGAACTGTTCATTTGGCTCAGAAGCTTTGACCTGTCTGCCTGGGAGATCAGGAGAGACTAAGAGTCATTGCCTCTGGAGAGTCATCAGCAGTGACTACTATATGAAAAAAGAAGTGACTTTACCACAGGGTCCATTAATCAGATTTCCTTATCATGCCAGATATGCAGACTGCTCTCATAATCGGTATGCTCAGCGAAGACATGTTAATAACAAGCTCAAGTCTGAGCTAGTCCCTTACTCAAAGAGGGGTGTAGCATGGGCTGGGCGGAAGGCAAGGAGACAAGGCAGAGGTTCATCGCTTGTGTTGCTCCTCTTGGCCAGTCTCTGGAGGTACACAGAAGGTGCCAGCCACAAGCACCGACATAGCTCCTCTCACAGCTGCATGTAGTGGTTATTATATGGAAATGGTACAGAGAAGTTACTGCTGACATTGGGAAAGAAACTATTAGATGTTCTGAGACAGACAGTGGATCAAGGGGGCCATCACCTCCTTCATGCATGACACATGTCAATTTTGTACATTTTGCTGTTTGGCCTTGAAAGTACTGTTAAATTTTCCTGCTGTGAGTCAGGAGCAGAGTAATCCAGCCACAAAAGGAAAGTCTCCATCTCCGGAGGAGAGCAGCTGCTTACCCAGAGGGCAGGGTGGCAGGAAGATGGATGGAAGATGGGAAGACCCACCTGCATGTGGGTCCCTGACTCCCGCTGCCCTTTCTCATCTAACTAAAACCAAAACACCTTCTCCCCTGTGCCTTTGCTTGTGGTGGCCTGAAGCTGCTTTCCCCAGAGCAATTATCCTCCTGAATGAGGAGAGGAAGCAAAACTCTGAACGAATGGATGAATGAACAAAGAAGTCTTCCCCACACCTGCTTTTGCAGAACATGGGCTCCTCTCCTCTTAAGGGATAATGGCGTGAAGCCACATCTAAGAGTCACACTTCCCCACCCATGAGTCCTAGCTGTCAGAGCAGGGAGAGGCAGGTGGACCGGGCTGTCACCCTGCTGGTGAGGGAGACTGAGCCAGGAGGAATTGATGAGCGCCCATATTGTGCATCCGACATAAAGTAGACTGGCGCTAATTCCATTTGTGTAGGGTGATGTGATTTCAAGTGGGGTGTCTTTAACATGACCTGTGTGGCTTTGGGTGGGGGACAAGGCGGAAGACAGACATGTAGTCTTCTGAGGCTTCACATGACAGGGAGCAGGGAATGCCAGGAGGGCTTGGATGTCATTTTTGCTGGATGCGGTTGGCTCCAGGGGACACAACATCTCCCACTTCATCTTCCTCCAGCTTACCCTACCTATCAAGCAATGAGGTGGCATGGGCGCAAAGCTTGTAGGCCATTTCTTTTTGCAGACACCTTCCTGGGCAGAAGAGGCATGGTTTGGAGAGTGGGCGTTTTGCAGTGAGGTACTGAGCACTGGTGTCCTGCTCTGTGAGCTCACCCTGCTGGGAGGCTCGGCTGCGGCGGGGGCACCTGCACCATGTGGGATAAAGGGATTGTGAACAGCCAAATGCCTGACCCTCCATCTTCGAATGCGTTAGCGTCACTTCATTTATTATCTTGCAGTTCTGTAAATGCCTGTGAGTACTGGTGCCATTTTACATTTTATTTTGGAAAATTGCTGTGCTGCTGGTGAAAGGAAGGTGCTAGTCACCTTCAGGAAGGCAGAAGGTCCAACTAAGAGCCTGCATATGGAGCAAGGGTAGGGAGGAACTGCAGGCTGGCATAACAGCGGCATAGAAGGGTCTGGAAAAATCTTAGTGAGCAAAGACCAAATGACATACAGGGTTGTGACATCTTCTTTTGTAGCTAAAATTCTCAGAAAGAATCAAAGTTAAAAGCCAATCTATCTGAAATAAGCTGCAGTGTTTTAAAAAGTGCATCATTTCTTTAAGACAAAGTCATTGTCTTTTGGTCAGAAATGGGGGTATATAAAGAAACATGCAGAATGATCACAGGATTCAGAGCAATGAAATTACACTGCTTGTGACATTAATTCTCCTCTGACTCTCCTATGGAGAATGCATGTCTTGTTCAATTTGCGATGTTGGCTGATGTGTTGTTTTACAAAGTGCATGCTAGATGCACGTAAGTGCATGCTTTCTCCTGCATTGGATTTTTAAGGTCTAGATAAATTTGCTGCAGCTTATTGTATGTGGTCTTGAAAATGACTGATTTAGACCATGCTAAAACACTAAGTTTTGAAAACTGAAGGCTGGATAACAGGATAATTTATGTTCATTGTGAAGAAGAAATATTTATGTATATAATTTACTTCCCTCTTTCCTATAAACCCTCTTGTCTCCACCAGTAGCCAAATGCCTTAAGAGATTTCCCACAGCTTGTCAGCAGGACACAACACTAGGCAGTTTATTTGATTTCAGCATGTCAGTGTCAAGGGTCAGGGGGAGGTGGATGAGTGCAGTTTTTGGAAATTGTAACTTGCTCTTTAATATTATGGATTTATTGATTGCTTAATGAAGTAATAATCCCTGTGTGTGCCTGGCTGTGAATGTACCAGTCCAGGCCTTTGTCTAGCTTCTCTGTTTAAACGGTAAACATTTGAAGCCAGGTACAACACACATTCAAATGGCACCAAGCAGTATTAGGAGGGGAGGGGTTTCTGATGTTGGTTGGCTTCTTTAAGTCCCACATTGCTTCTGCTGTTGCAGTATATTGGTAAGATGTTAATGAGAAATATCGTAGGATGTGTTGCAAAGAGACGGTATGATTTTCAAGCCTGGAATGCTGTTTTATTGATCTGTAGCTGGGATATTTTTCTAATGCGTGGGGTGGAGAAAGGGTTTGTAGGTAGGGTTGGATTATTTTATTGGACCAACAGATATTGATCTGGTGTGTTTGAAAGCTACTCTGTATTCTTCTATTGTTATAAATTGCTCCAATGAAAGATATTCCCCTTCTTACTAAAAAAATTATGCCTGCTTAAATCAGTAATGTGCCAAGACATTAACATGCTATTTAGATAAAATCCACCATAAATCTTAAATTTTGAGTAGAGCTTTCTTTGCCTAACAACCAAGGGGTTCAGCGTCCCATTACTGTGTGTTGCCTGCTTCTGCTCCCCATCCGCCTCCCACTCAGCTGTCAGGGAAGGCAAACAGTAAGTCACAAACCACCTAATGAGCCAGCATCCCTGCAGTGGTGGTGGAGGAGAGGTGATAAATTTATCTGGAGGGGACCCTCTTGCCGGGGGGATGCTGTGAGTGGAGTGTGACATGGGGCTGGAGATGATGCTGGACAGGAATAAGGATGGGTCAGTGTGGAGAGTGGCCTGGCAGGAGGACAGGCTGCACATTAGGAGCAAGGGGAGGTACAGGCAGATGTTGCCTCCCAACTCCCTCACTTCTACCCAGATAAGGTGGTTTGGGTCAGTGGTCTCCTGCATTGCTGTCTGCCCCCTCCTCCATCTGGAAACTTGACTTCTCCTTCCCCAGCCCTGGTCATATTCCAGCCTCATTCCTGGCACCACTTCCATCGGCTCCCTGGCAGCCATCCCCACGGCACTGAGCACGCAGGTTTCCCCTCTCCCCCCCCAGTCTGAGCACTGCTGGGTCAGCATGTGGCACAGGGCGTACTTGTAGCGCCTGCAGAAGGAGAGCTTGAGAACGGCTGTTTGGAGCTGCAGAAGCTCAGTCAGCCCCCCATCTCTGTCCTGTTGGGGAAAATGTTCCTTACGTCATTCGTACATGACCTAGGAGCACCTGTCTCTATTCCTGCAGTACAGATCCCCCTTCTCCCCTCCTCCTTTATCCTTGCTGGTAGTATTTTCTGTCTCTTGTCACTCAGTTTTGCCTGATGGCCTCCCACTCTTCCCCACCTGCTCAGGGTGGGGTGCCGGCTGCCCTGGTGTAGACCAGTAGTCTCAAGACTTGCTTCAGGCTTTGACCGCTACTGTGGCTGAAAGGCAGCCGTAAATCCACTGCTTTACATGGAATGTATTTACTGTGGGATCACTGAAGAAGCATAGGCAAGCACAAAAATACAACCTGTGGGACCCAGCTGCTCAAAAGGCACCGCAGTGTCTGTCTGCCTTCTGCCCTTCGTCTTTTTTCTACAGTCAGCACCTTCGTTGTGGGGCCAGCACGGCCGTGTTAGCTTGGATACTTTGCAAGCATGCACTGGACACTGTGGCCGCTGCACATGAATTATTTGGCAAGCTGACTTAAAGAGAAATTTGTTGCAACATGGATAATCAAGCAATGACAGCTTCCTGCTTTGGGAACGTAAAAGGAATGCTGCTACACACCTTATAGTGGATTAAACCATAAGACATATAACTGGTATTGGCAAATAAAGACAGGAAATTCAACCATTTAACTTAAAAACAGACAACAAAGACACATTTGTATTTCCACAGCAACCTTACCATGTAGAAAATCTTCATGTTGGGGCTTTTAAAGATACCTTAAATTCACGATTACAACAATACTTTACCTATACAGTTAAGATTTGCCGAAGAAAAGTCGATTGCTTGTCAGCATCTAGTCCTTTTAATGTATACAAACTAGTAGACTTATGAGAATCAGCTTTTCCTAAATTTTTACTCCATTTTAAACTGCTTTGTTTGCTAATATTGCAATTGTGTCTGTATATATATATTATCTCCATTAGAGGACCAATATATAATATAAACAATAAATATATACATACATCTCTCAAGGCTAAGCGTAAGAGCAATCTTATGTAAGATGCTGTTGCTATTCTGCTGAAAAATTTTATTTCTAAAATTCACTGTAGCAATAGGCTGAAATATCCGCGTCTAAAATTGATGGAAGAAATTCATTCACGTGTAACCAAAATGAGTGTCTAGGAGACCCGATCTTTTCCACAAATCCTTGCTGTTTATTCTGTCAAGTAATCCTAGTAGATTTCCACGGGAGGCATGGGAGGACCAGAGGGTTTTGACATTAGTAGCAGGCGACTTACCTTTGTGCTGATCGAACACCGACGAGGAGCTGAAATCCATTGCGGTCTGTCTCATTATTTACAACCAGACAAACGCCACCTCCGGGGTTTTCAGGGAAGAATCCCATTTATCACAGTAAACAACGCCACGGCAGCTGTCTCCGTCCGGTCTTCTTGTCAGAGGACGAAACTCGCTTTGCGGCTGCGGGTTTTTTTGAAGGCGATGTGGATTAGCCCGC